CGCGCCACGTCGGATCGGTCAACTCGTTTTTTTGACCAAATAACGCTATGGACGAATATGGAACCGTTTAACAAGTTCAGGATTTAACGTGTTCAATTTTGCAAGTTTGGGAATTAATAGGCACCTCTACAAGTTTAGGAATTAATATTACTCCAAAATACAAGTTCAGGAATTTTTAGGGTTTTTTCCCTAATAATAATAATAATAATAATAGCAACAATAATAATAATAATAACAATAACAATAATAACAATAGAATCTGGACTTCAGGAGGAGGACAAATGAGAAAACATGAGTCTCCCCTTCCCTGGCATTACCTCAATTAATGCTATTTCATTATCACTATTGTCATTATATATATAGATTAATTATTATTAATCAAATCCTTAAAGTTACTTTGGCGTTCCTTTTTTTAAATTTCCCGACTTTTTGACATCTTCACATGAGACCTTTCTCCTCCAGCTATTATATACTCTCTCCCCTCCTTTTTCTCCCTTCACACACACACATCCAATCCATGTATGTATGTATGTATATATATAAGCCCACATGACTCCACACCATCAAGGCCATAATTGAGAGAGAGAGAGAGAGAGAGAGAGAGAGATTAGAGAGAATGGGAAGAGCGCCATGTTGTGACAAGGCGAACGTGAAGAAAGGGCCATGGTCTCCAGAGGAAGACTCAAAGCTCAAGGCCTATATCGAGAAGCACGGCACCGGTGGCAATTGGATTGCTTTGCCCCAAAAGATTGGTTAATATATTTATATTTATATATCTTCAATCTTCTCTCTATATATATGGAATTCTTTTTAAGGATTACTTGTTTGACGGGTTCTGTTTGTTCAATCTCCTGTCGGTTTAGGGTTAAAGAGATGCGGGAAGAGCTGCAGGCTCAGATGGCTCAATTATCTGAGACCAAATATCAAACATGGAGGCTTCTCTGAGGAAGAAGATAACATCATTTGTAACCTCTATGTCACTATTGGCAGCCGGTATTTATATTCATCCTTCTATACACACACACACACACATAGTTGTGGAATATCTCTGAGTTCCTTCCATTTGAATTGCCAACAATTAGATCCATACGTATATAGAGGAAAACTACGGTTAATTTCGTCAAGATTTTTTTTTTTTTTTACCTAAAGTTTGTTACCATTTCGAATGAATTTCGGTTAATCGCTTGTTCTCGGTGTCTATATATGTGGCTTAGGTGGTCTATAATTGCGGCTCAGTTGCCGGGAAGAACGGACAACGATATCAAGAACTACTGGAACACGAGGCTGAAGAAGAAGCTTCTCAACAAACAGCGCAAAGAATTGCAAGAATCCCCGATGATGATGATGATGAAGAGACAGAACCAAACCGACCAGAAGAATCTCAGCATGTTCGGACAAACCTTGACGAAACAAGAACAAACCCTATATTGGCCACAGCTTCCTCATCAAGTGCCTGCCGTGGAATTACCAACGGCTTACAGCAGCAGCTACTACGACCAAACACCGTCGTCATCGTCCGATCAAGAACAAAAGCAGATCCTCGATAGCATGATTAAGATCGAAGAGACAGTAGAAACCAACCCTCAAGAAAACCCTAATGGTTTCTCCTTCAACCAGGATTATTACAGCAACTACTATGGAGGGAGTTTCTCGATGATGAGCAGCAGCACGAGCTCGCCGTTGACGAGAAACAATGGCGATCATCAGGAATTCTTTCAGTGGTTTGGGAATTTCCAGGCCGATCAAGAGATGATGAATGACGGCTTGTTCTCGAGCAACGTTCAGAATCTTGAAGGGCTCGACAGTAACACATTCTACGGGAGCTCCTCAGCCGTGGGAACAGCAAGTAATTCGGCTGATCAAAGTACGATCAGCTGGGAAGGTATAACTTCTCTCCTTTGTCATCATCAGAACGATCAAAGCAAATATGCAAGCTACTTCAGCATCAATGGGATAATACAGAGGTAGAGTATATATTTGTTTCGTATATTTTGGTTCTACATTATTCGAGGACGGTTTATTTTCATATTTTGTATAAAGTTGTGTGTATCTCTAGGAGGTTTGGTCGAGTATATTGATTGAATATTCATGCAGAGATTTTGCTTCATGCATGCTACATGAAAAGATTCTCTCCTTTTAGCTTTTTCTAGCTCTTTAAACCTTAAGATGTGCGATTTCTCAACTTAAATTTCATAAAAGAAATTAACGAGATATATATGAATATAAATTTGAAAATGTATATTAATCGCACCAACATCACCCCTTAGGCTCTATAATAATATATCCCTAATTAATTAGGTACGTGTACATATTTGTGTGTAAATATTTAATAATATGCATAACAATGAAAGCGAATTTTCTGGGTTTTGTTGAACAGTATATGTTGGGTGCCTATATCAATGAAGAATCCTAGGAGGATTTTATGTACTATTCTTATTCAACTTGCCCGTATATATATATATATAGACATGCATATGTGTTTGTATTGTAGCAGCACTAGGATCTGTCATAGTGAATATCTTGTGATTTAAAAATCTAATTAATTTTGCCAAATAACCCATATATATGCGATGTAATTATTAATTATTTCGACGACACCCAAATTTGGGTGGTCTAGTGGTGAGAGAACATACAAAGCATGCTTTCATCTTGGGTTTAAATCCAAGCGTGGGGAGATGCATTCACCTGAGTTTCTCCGATCGAGATGTAGTCGGGCCAAAGGTCCACTGAACTTTCGGCTTATTAAAAAAAAAATTATTTCGACGACTACGTAGAAATAGAATATTTGAGTGCACAGTCCTCCAAACAAATCGATGTTATGTTGTATGGTTACAAATTACAATTTTCATATCTGCGAAAATAATTTGTCAACTTTTACTATATTTTATGGTTTATAAGTTTATGTTTAGATTTTTTTAATGGACGTTGATATCCGGATACGATCCAACTAATTTAATGCAATATATACATTTATATATCTATATAATCATAAAGATGCGAAAATAACTTTTAGGTTGGATCTCCGATTTTTGCATGGTATTGACGTTGGTATCCCTCTCAAAGCTATTGCCTTCGACCCCAAAAAAAAAATCTCCGATTTTGCGGATAATACCTAACATTTTATTTTTTTTTTGAAGAAGATCATTTTCTTACCAATTTATTCCATATGCTCAAAAAAGGACATGACATTTTCATTAGTCCGTTTGGGTTTCATTTCATCACAGAATCAAATTGCGTATACTCTAACTCTAATGATATCATTATATATATATATATATATATATATATATTCTCTTCCGAGTTTGGCACAAAGATTTTGCCCGATCAACCCTCAAAATCAAATACTTATAGTCATTTCTAACAATCCTACCATGGAACCAACAACTTGCCCCTATCCATCTATTTCAATTCAAGGTATTGACTTTTTTGGTGCATGAGAAAGTAGCACATTGACATGAGTGATTATATATATATACACACACACACCCACATATATATATATAGGAGCCTTTTTATTAATGTGTGAAAGTAAGTAACCTTACAAAAAAAAGATAAATATGATGGAAGTTTTAAATCGAATGAGTTATACTTTGAGGCCAAAGAGTTAGAAGCCAACGTCTATTATTCAACAATATACTTAATTAGTCGACATTACAAGAAAATGTACTTTCCTTGCCAAAAAAAAAAAAAAAAAACTTACTTTCAGTTTCGGATCGTCTGTTCACAATTTGACTTTTCATCAACCGGTCCATTTATAATATGTATTTCACTATTTTAAATCATTGGCGTTTTTCAAAAGTGTTAGATATATATTGTTTTTTCAGAAGTTGAAACCCTCAGTTGATTTGAAAAGGCAGTGATGCAAATACGGTCTTGTTGTATATATATAATAATAATAATAATAATAATAATAATAATATGTGTACGTAGAAAATAATAAGAATAAGGAATGATTCTAATCTCGTTTTCGTACATACGCTATATAGCCAATAGATAATAAAACGACGTTTCCAAGAATATGACAAAAGTAGTCTCTGAAAACAAGTCATGTGAATGTTCCAAACATTCTCTACTAACAGCAAAATGACAAATTATAATAACCTCATGGAATTATCCACCTTTAATTTAGCATTATTTTTAAAAACTCGATTATTTGTATACATACAAAATTACTTAATGTCGTGTGGGGTGTATGTATACATGTACGTATATGCACGTACACCTGTGTAGCTATGTATGTATCTCCCAAAAAAAAAATTGAAGTTGAAAGCAAAGTGTCCAAGTACAAGATCTCATCACAAGTTCCCAAAACATGCACTTCCACTAATGACCGGATTATTATACGATTATGCTATTCTTGTAAATATGAATACAGCACATGATAACTCGTAATGAAAATGATGCATTTAACAAAAATAAAATAAAATTATGTATGTAAACACAAACATACATATATGCAATCAACTAGTTAGCGGTTCAATGGTTGAGAAGATAAAATCATTTCGAAGTCTTAGATTCGATTTCATTGATGGAGAGAAGAAAGTGTAATTAATTGTGTGATTAAAGGTTGATTTCATATTCAGTAGATTAAGTGAGACGAAGTACCGGTGAGTCTCCTAATTATAAAATATATATATATATATAAAAGCATGCGTACTTCTCGGATCGTCAAAGTAAGAAGAAGGAAGAGAGAATAATAATGGAAGGGAAGAAATCAAGGAGCTAAAATCAACAGTATACGAACGGATTATATTAAATAAATAAGCAAAGTTAATTATATACAAATGAGTGCCACATTCTGCCAAACCCATTGACGATAAATCATAAAACACCATATACAACCTTGATTGAAGCCTCGCTACCACTCACGCCCCGACAAATCGCCTCCCGACGAAATGATTTTATTATCAATTTGTTAAATTTCAATTTGCTTTATTTAAATTACAATTAATTAGGACCATTGTCAAAAGTAGCCAACGCATTTATTTATTTTTTAAATCCAACTGATGCCGACACTCACAAACACTTTGCTAATTCTTTTCTTCATTTTTTATTATATTTTTTCCGTGATTTTTTCTTCTGGATTTGCCTTAAAAAAGTTGGGAAATTTGTTTTTATTACATAAAATAATGTAATATTTTCTTGTGGGAATGGAATTAATGTCGCGTCTGATCACTATGTTTTGTGTTTTCTATTTTATTTTATCCACGAAGAAGAGATTCGTCGATTTCTTGTTATCTGCTTATGGAGGAAAGGATGGATACCCGAATTAATTCATATGCTTTTAATTAAATAATCTTTACCTTTTGATTGTTTATCAATTATTCCACCTTTTTTGGATACCCTAATCTAAACCATCCCGACAAATTTTTAAAAAATACTCCATCCGTTCCATCCGTTTCATTTTACATGACGTTTAAGGATTCTACACACAAATTAAGAAAAATACGATCCTAAAACGATTAGGCTAATACTATTCGTAACGACGACGATCCTAAAACGATTTCATTATCAGCAAATGGGAACTTTTTATATACACACCGGCCGGTCATATCTGTTACTTGTTTAACTATGAACTTATTCAGTTATAACTATAACAATTGAACTACGATTGATATTGTTGGGAAAAATAAATAGTTGACAGTTACAAAATTAAAAATGTCGGAAAATATCAGCCACACGAATACAACCAGCTACCATCATGAGAAGGATCCACTATTTTTTTTTTATTTTTTTTTGGTCATGTGAAGGGTATGATGTGTATGCCTTTGGATTGTAAAAGCACGTAAGACGAGGGAGAAGAGGGGAACAAAACACATCGTTTGATAGGGTGCTGCAGCCTTTTACACACGTACGTTCCTATTTAGTGCAATGGTTTGAGGTGGAAGACTTGGCAGTTCGGCTTGTACGCTCTCTTTGAAGCAGCCTGGTCGAACTTCTTGGTCGCTGCTTCGTTCTCTTCTAAGCTGGTCTGGAAGAAAAACCGTATCCACCACGAGGAGCTTCGCTTTTTAGCCTGCGATTTCACCACCCTCGCGTTTTAGCCGTTGAACACAAGAAAGATGCCGCTCTTATGTAGAAGAGGCATCTTTGAAATATCCGGAAATTATATGTTTTGAGGACTTTGTGACAGATACATGACGACTAACTATACATCTAAGAACCCAGAACGTCCATTTCATGTAATCAAGTGAGCATACTTAAAATCATGGAAGAGATACGCCAATGACTAATTCCAGACATTAAAAACCACTGAATCTAGTAGAGGATTTCACATATAACCATAAGAAGAATAGTTTATATAGAACTTACTGGTCGTCCAAATTTCGACAATTCCGCCACCTTAGCTCTCTGTTGACCAGGGTACCCTAGAACGCATGGCAAGGAGACATGAAGTTTCAAACTTGTGAAAGATTAGATGTCTTTTAAATGCTTTATTTCAGATCTTTCGTCTGAAATTCTGGGTTAGTTACCTGCAAAAAGAACGAGGCCATCAGAAGCCACCCTCGCCAATTCGGGGACAGTCTTATTCAGGTATTTGGGTGAGAGATAATCCACAGCATCTGAAACAATCACAAGAGAGAAGGACTTTGATCGGTAGGGCAGAGGGAACTTGATGTCCGCGACACGTACAGAGCCTCTGCGCACAAGACTTTTGCAGTGAGAATCAGCATCCTCTATGTCATATGGTTCCACACCCCACGCTTCTGTATCTTCTTCCTTCAACAGACTGGAGACCACCGAGCATGTATCGGGGCCTACGTGCAGAACTTTGCGCATGCTGTCTCCATAAGCCTTTTTAAGAACAGGAATCGCCCTTTGGACCTCTGTCGTGCAAGAATAGTCACCTGAAAATTGAAGTAAATTTTAAGGATATTCAACCTGAGAGATTTACCCTTTCTCACTGTTTTCCCCACACTTATATCAAGCAACTGTGTTGGTTAAACAGCCAATAAGAGAAACCATTTGATGAAAAGTTTTCAATTCAAGTTCTATGACACAAAAACTCTCCCAGTATGTCTCCCACACCAGATTTGCCAAAAGTACAAAGACTCCAGAGGGGAACGAGAACATAAACAGAAAATGGAAGCAGAAACATCCAAAACAGTAGTGAAGTAGCTCAATTTGCGTCAAGGCATTGGCCCAACATTGTCTTAAGCGCAAATGTGAATATGAGAAAGGGAGCATACCTGTGACCTTGCTGATGTCTTTGACACTTTTGAAGATACCTATATTGCAGAAAAGTGAAGGGAACTCAGTTGAGCAACAAAGCCATCAAGTCAGAATCACAAACCATACACATGCTGCAGGAAGACATCTAATACACTCAGTTGAGCATATACACACCTGGACCACTGTAGGCATAACCAATGAGAAGGCATGCCCCCTGAAAATGATATTACATAGCATTAAGACAAAAGATTTTCAGGTCCAGAAATAATCTGCCCTTGGAAACGAATCAACAAAAAGAACAAAATGCAGCAAATATTGTACCACAAGAACAAGGCAAACAGATAATACTGGAGATGACCGCGACTTCGAGTGCAATGCTCCTGCAAATGGAAAGCTTGCACTATCACCTAGACGTCTTGTCAAACTTACTGGTCGTCTCGACATGACTGAGATCCGGAAAATTACAAGCTACAAAAACCTTCAAAGCAAAAATATATCAGTATAGGTTTTATCTCTGCGTTTAACCTAACACCCATAAACCACTGAGAATGCGGCTCTCGCTTCTTCACGATAAACAGATTACACCAGGATAAATTGACATTCACAAAATGCTTAATCTACAAGATTCCAAAATGAAACAGCATAAACGAGCAACAGATTTCGCTCTAGCTAGTTCTCTTACTCAGCGATTCAACAATCGTCAATGCCAAAAGATTTTTCCGACACAGGAATCGTTTGCAATCAGATCCGAGAAATTAGCAATACGGAGACTGAAATATATTGGATTCTAGCTCAAATTAGCAAAACCAAAAGCAGATTTGAAAACAAAGAAAGGACAGAAAACGAGAGAACATACTTTCACGCTAGCTCATTCTTTCATTTCAGCAAAATAATAGCTCAAAACACAAAGCTAGCAGCACTTTTCACAGAAAGCGAACCAGATTGCCAACGGATCCACGAAAGAATTCCGCAGAAATGTTATTTACGCGAAGACGAAATCATCGGATCAGCGAGAAGGATGAAATCATGGAGAAATCGAAGACGAAGAATATGAAAACCAATCTACCTTGGATCGAGACTAATGAGTAGATGAGGTTTACGCAATCAGATTATTGGATCTCAGATCCGAGATCCTACGAACAACTCCTGCGACTCAGTTGAATTTAGTAGAGAAGTGCTCCGTAGTGTAATTGTCGCGCATCGTACCGTAGATATAAACCTTGTTCTTAAAGCGCGTATGGATAACTGGATATGACCCGCTTCTCCAAAACGGCATCGTTTCAAACCCGGACATGCAATGGCAAATTTCGTGCCGTTTCCTCACCGGATAAACAGATTACAAGCGGCACGTGGAAGTTTCAAACGACATGCAATGTACGAGCCCTTATTCACCAACAGTTTCGAGGAACTCGTTGTACATAGTACATACACACGCAAAGATTTTTAACAGCGGAATCAACTCTTCCAAACAACAAAAGAAGAGATTGGTTAATGCTTTGAGACATTGCACAATAACTTAAGCGAGTCTCTTGCCTCTGAGTCGGCTGCATTTAGATGGCATTTGATGTTCTCTACTGTCCCAGGACCGAAGTACGTATCTAACCATTAAAACCATTAACCATCAGTGTCCGACCATCTATCTAAGCCCACCAACTTCCCACTAGAATTCTTGGAAGAAATCGAAAATGCCAGGAATTGTCCAACGAACCTGCGCGGGGTTTAGACGATTTAAGAGCTGGGTTTTGGACAAGAGCATGAGGAGGCAATTCCTTGTCGAAGAAATCAGAGTCGAAGTACCCATCTCGCTGTTCTTCAAGAGAATTCGCGAGGCAAAGTGCTTCGTTCAGCTTTGCCTGCAGGAAATTAGGTGGAACCAGACGAGGCTGGACAAGGAAGAGCCTAGGCGGGCTCGTTGGGTCTCTGTTGAACAACGAAACGGCGTCGCTTCGTGCGCCTTCTTCATCGTTCCCCTTAGAATGGGACTTGGAAGACGAAAATGGCGAAGAAGAAGAAGAAGAAGGAGAGCAATCATCATCCTGGTTCGTGTTCTGGGCCGATACCTCTACCTTATCTTCACCTTCTGATACACTGATTGTCTCTGCTTCTTCACCTTCACCCTCTTCTAGGTACACATTGCTGTCCATTTCCTCTTCTTCATAGTCAATCTAAACATTTTCCAAAGAGAAAAAACGAAAAAGGGAGGCGAAATCAAGTTCAAGAAAGATTCGTCGTGATAGAATCGGGCAAAAAGGTCCGAGCTTTTGTCCAATTTTTGCTTATATTCACCGTTTTCCCTCCTCCTACTTGAAGAGAGAGTGAAGAGGGAGGGAAGGAGGGAATTTCCATACCTTGTTCCAGACTTCTATCATATCTTGAAGCTTATCTTCAGGTACTCCAATCTGATGAAGGACTTGAAATACCGTTGAACGATGCTCCTCGAGATTTGGGGCCGTGGAATCAACTACATGCTACAAGGCGTATGTGACAAAGAACATATGAAGTACATAGAACAAAGTTGTTCATTTCAAATATTTCACCTCTGTCTGTGTATAACCCAAGATAAGATCTTCAATTGAGCTCATACCAGAAGGAGATCAGCTTCTACAACTTCCTCCAGGGTAGATTGAAATGCTTTCACCAGCTGCAAAAGACATGAAAAAGGAAGCATGGCTAGACCCAATTAAAGGGACAGAAAACACAATAGATGGAAAAACAAGATTCAATCCATACTATCCTTTTACCTGCACAGGTAGATCTGATATGAATCCCACGGTGTCACTAAGAAGCACTTTCCTTCTGAAAAACCAACCGGTGCAGTTCAATCAAGAATTAGAGTTTCCCATTTCCATCCAAAAGCAGGCATAAACGTTTTCCCTGGTGGACCAACCAGCTTACCCGGAAGGAAGAGCAACACTCTTTAGTCTAGGATCTAATGTGGCAAACAATCTGCAGGCCAAACCAAAACATTCAAAGCTTAAACTTCCCGGATAAAATTTCACAGCAACGAATGTTCTGAAGCGGGTATTACCGTTCATTGCAGTAGAGAGCAGTGTCTGTTAATGAGCTTATCAAAGTCGATTTTCCCTGCCAGATGAAACATAGGGAGAAGCCATAAAGAGCAAATACAAAAAAGGAACCATTTTTTCTGGTGAAAACAATAAAGGGTCTCATCAGCAGAATCCAAGAACTTACAGCATTTGTGTAACCGACAACCGCAACAGTAGCTAAATCTTGACCCTCTATTCTGCCTCGTCTCTTACGAGCAGCACGCTGCAATGCTCGTGTACGTCTGACCTCTTCAATTTGGGACAGCAAATTCTTCCTCCGTTCCATTATTCTGATATCAACCAGCCTCATAGTGTGAGATGCTAAGAAGAATGGTCCAAACTCCTAAGACATAGACATAATGGTTCATACCTTCTCCTTTGAAGTTGAAGCTCGGTTTCTCCAGCACCACTAATGAAACCACGTCCCCCAGATCCTCTCCTGCACAATTATCATCCATGGCCATGAAGAACTTTATCAATGATTAAGAAACTGGTCCATTGTATAAAGACAAATGTAAGATGAAAAACTCACCCTCTGGCACTGACAACTTCAGCTTCACCAAATTGTCCAAAAGTCTGCCGTCCATCGGGACCACGAACTCGAACCAGTCTGCTGCTTTTGTACATCAGAGCGGCTAACTCTGCCTGTAAAAGGGTTCCATGATAAACCAAAAACATTACATCAAAGGCATTCAAGAAGTTACCCAAATCAATCTTTACCGTACAATCAGCCATATTACCTGGAGCTTAGCTTCTTTTGTATGTGCATGAGCATTAAATATTTCGATAATAAGACCGACACGGTCTAATACAGGTCTTCCCCATGCTCGCTGTCGATCAGAGAAAACAAGACAACCACAGTAAATTAACTCAGAAACATGAAGTCAAATCTACTAGAGAAAGGGCAATCGTAAAATGAAGAAGCTTTGGCCTAATGGCGCCACCTCCAAATTCCTCTGCTGAATTCCGGTCAAAATGGCGTTAACGAAAACAGCATCAACTTCTTCCTGGTCGCAGGAAAGCAAAGATTTTTAACAGCGGAATCAACTCTTCCAAACAACAAAAGAAGAGATTGGTTAATGCTTTGAGACATTGCACAATAACTTAAGCGAGTCTCTTGCCTCTGAGTCGGCTGCATTTAGATGGCATTTGATGTTCTCTACTGTCCCAGGACCGAAGTACGTATCTAACCATTAAAACCATTAACCATCAGTGTCCGACCATCTATCTAAGCCCACCAACTTCCCACTAGAATTCTTGGAAGAAATCGAAAATGCCAGGAATTGTCCAACGAACCTGCGCGGGGTTTAGACGATTTAAGAGCTGGGTTTTGGACAAGAGCATGAGGAGGCAATTCCTTGTCGAAGAAATCAGAGTCGAAGTACCCATCTCGCTGTTCTTCAAGAGAATTCGCGAGGCAAAGTGCTTCGTTCAGCTTTGCCTGCAGGAAATTAGGTGGAACCAGACGAGGCTGGACAAGGAAGAGCCTAGGCGGGCTCGTTGGGTCTCTGTTGAACAACGAAACGGCGTCGCTTCGTGCGCCTTCTTCATCGTTCCCCTTAGAATGGGACTTGGAAGACGAAAATGGCGAAGAAGAAGAAGAAGAAGGAGAAGACCATTTTGGTAATTGGGTGATCGGGTTTGTGGAATTGGTGATGAAGCCGACACGGTTCCGCGCGAGAGACAGTGATCTGAGCATCTTGAAATCACCTAAACGGCGTCGTTCGGGCACTCTGCGTCGATTGAAGAAGAAGAATGACGAAGGTTGTTCTTCTGGATTTTTCAAGAATCTCAAGGTGCAGGCTTGATCGTTAGGGTTTTAGCTCAGGCTTAAACGGTGCCGTTTTGCTTCTCCGAACCTTACAATTACGTTACATTACATCATGTTAACTTAGTCAAGTCTCGAGACAGAAGGAGAAAACGTCGAGGTGACGTGATTAAGTCATTTCTGTGTTCTTTCTTAAAAAAAAAAAAGAAAAAAGATTGTTTCTTTTACCAAAAACAAAGATCGTTAGGGTTTTAGCTCAGGCTTAAACGGTGCCGTTTTGCTTCTCCGAACCTTACAATTACGTTACATTACATCATGTTAACTTAGTCAAGTCTCGAGACAGAAGGAGAAAACGTCGAGGTGACGTGATTAAGTCATTTCTGTGTTCTTTCTTAAAAAAAAAAAAGAAAAAAGATTGTTTCTTTTACCAAAAACAAAATATATATATAAAGTAGTTTCACTTGGAATACGGACTTACACTACGATGGCCCATTGATGAAAATATGGGCTTATTAAGCCTTTTTCATTGGTGATGGGCCTTAAAGCCCATTAAAACCTGTTAGTATTCTTGAATAAAAAGCCGAATTTATATTTTAATCGGACCAAATTATAGGCATGCCAAACATGGAAAATATTAGAAAACCTTTGAAGACAACAATATAAAACACTAATTTCCTGAAGGAGTTTTCTAAAATTAGACGTGTAAATAACGCCATTTATTTACTATCAATTGTAATCAACGCAAATATGCTGCTAAATTAATAATTTTATCGTATTACAATATCAATATGGTATATAATAGCAGCTATAGTTTTAAAACTTCGGTCCATTGGCTAAGACGAATCTCTGTCACGATGCGAGTTCACAAGTTTTAACATCGAGTTCACAAATAGAATTCGGCATGCAGGCAATTATATGTACGTAAAACCACGTACTTTTTTCAATCTGCATTTGAAAAAAAATTAGCAAATATAACATTAAATTAACCAAGTTCCAAAATTTAAACGATTTGTCTTAACAAAAAAATATATATATTAATTTCATACGTTGTCATCATGCAGCTGTAAGCATTACGTATACGGATGTTGCAGATGAGACTAATGAATGGCTTCGAAATGCAATATAACCATACTTTTTATTTTATTTTGTTTTTGGACCGTCGTTATCTTTTAACATCTCATCATTGCCGATTTGGGAATCGTGGTTTCGAGCTTTTTCTTGGGGACAAACAATTCTGCATTTAAGATTCAGCTTGACGTGAGAAAATCTTCCTTTTCTTCCATTGCGTAATTATTGACCAATGCGTTCACATTGTGCTTGTTTTATTTTTATTTTTTAAAACCAAGTACAATCAAAGTATGATTTTTTTTCCTTTCAAAAAAACAATCACATAATTCAAATAAAATTAAAATGGTTAATTTCACGTCCATATATTAATATATTATATATAGTGTAATTTAAAAAACAATTATTGCAATATTACACATAGTTGTCCATCACGAAGGAGAAAAGAATCTTAAATTTTTAACGATCTTACAAAAACATAATAACGTATAATCCGAACTATAACATTCCGAAATGGGGATTTATTATGATATTACAAATGAATATAATTATCTAACACTACTTTTATGCAACAATTTAGTCTTCATTCCAAAAAAAAAAACAGTCAAAATTTGATGATTAACCGAAGAATGTTTGGCTTTCTTTTCGAGTTTAAAATAAAATAACATTTATAGGAATTTGAGCCAAAGAATCCTCTGAGAATCAACTTTCGGCTATAAGATGTTTACTTACATGTTTATATATTTTATTTGAAATGTATAACCAACGTTCTCATTAAACAGCAAGGAAACCATATATATTCCCCGACAGATCGCTCCGACCTTTTTTCGCAAACAGGTTAGGGACAGAACCACGGCTCCATCTACACTTAATCCGGGTTGGATCGAAGCCACCGGCCAAGGAAAAAATCGGTATAATCAGCACTTACGAGCTCTCGTCAATTGCTGGTCGATCAGCTCAAGCACAGACTTGACCGCCCGGGTCGAAAAACCACCTCCTCCAAGTTTGGTTTTATCTAAGAATGTTATCTAAGAAGGCCACCTTGACAATTTAGAAAGATTACTAAATCTCTTTTGTTAAAGCACTTATGGAAGTACGAATTACTTTTCTTTTTACGACCGATATATAACAAATTTTTTGAGTAAATAGATTGACATTTCAAAAAAAAAATGTGGGGAGCGTGCCGGCGTGTGAATCCGAACATGCGTTTGTGTGAACAGATTTAATTATTCCAAGTTTGTAAAGAGTGTGTGTATATATATATATATATATATAGACTTTCATTTTTTTTTTTACCATAATTCGCATATTCTATCATGCGTCTGTATTCATTGTATAATATATACATTGCGGTATTTTAATTAATTATACGATTTTATACTAAATTACCATAAATTCATGTGTTCACCAACTTTCTTCAACCTTTGGTGGAAACATTAATAAACAAAATCAAACTTATGTGTGTGTGTGTGTGTGTTTGGCTCCATTAAGCGATTCATAAATGTCGTACATTGCTTCCATCAAACAATTTTAATCTATAAACAGCATGCAAATATTGCACCCGAAACCAATATATATATATATATAAATGTTCTCTAGCATCTCCACCACTGCATTTTCACATTAAAAATAAATAAAACCAATTAAAAACAAAGAAAAATCAATTTTGAAAAAAATTTTAGTGTATTCACATAGAGATTTTCATAAAGTATACAACTTTTATACCACAAGCAATGCTTGGAAAAAAAAAAATTTAGTGTATGTACATAGAGATTTCATATAGTATCAAACTTTTTATCCCACAAGCAATACTTGAAAATAAAAAAAAGTTTTTTTTAGTGTATGTACACTACACAGAGAGATTTTATAATGGAGGGAACCACCACGACCTTTCAGGTGCGGAGTAAGCCCACCGGTCTCACGCAATAGCCTGCAAACCACGTGAAACAGGTAAACCAGCCGGAGGATTGAACTCATGAGCTCTCAACCAACAGGCTGGGGGCTTCCCCCAACGTGAAATAAAAAAAAGTTTTTTTTAGTGTATGTACACTACACAGAGAGATTTTATAATGGAGGGAACCACCACGACCTTTCAGGTGCGGAGTAAGCCCACCGGTCTCACGCAATAGCCTGCAAACCACGTGAAACAGGTAAACCAGCCGGAGGATTGAACTCATGAGCTCTCAACCAACAGGCTGGGGGCTTCCCCCAACGTGTATATATATATATCATTGACAGAGATTTATAACGATTTATCTGAATAAAATTATTGATATAAACTATACGTTCCACCAGTAGATATTTCTTAGGCAATTATTTGGCGTATATATTTTGTACGTAATTTAATATATGCTAAAAAAATGCTTGATAAAGCTATATATATATATATATATAATGTTTTTCTTCCATGGTCTTTGTTTTTGGCAAATTTTAAGAAAGTACTCGATGTCGGATATAATCTACATCATTTTTACAATACAATGCTTATTACGAACACCTCGATGAATATTTAAACACCATCGTGTATTGCTTGAATTAATGCATGGGAAATTAATGTTTCCACGACGCGATATCATTGAATTGATTTATTTTAAATAATCTTAATGATGTATAATGTGACGCGATAGTAACCTGAAAATATTTTATGGTTCACATTTCTCCCGAAAACTCCCATCTACAGCTTCTTTCTCTCTCCCTTGTGTATAAATTGCTCACAACTCCTCTTCTCTCTTCTTCATCATATCTCATCCCCTCTCTCTCTCTCTCTCTCTCTCTCTCTCTCTCTCTCTCTCTCTCTCTCCCTCTCTCTCTCCCTCTCTCTGAGTTGAAGAAATTACTCTCGTCTCATCAGTCAAAGAGATGGCAAAGTTCACAACCTTCTTCATAATGGCTCTCCTCTTGTGTTCGACGCTAACATACGCCGCTCGGCCCGCTCCCGCCGGAGAAACCCCCGTCGAGGTTAGTGTGCAAAATAAGAGTCTTATATATACACGCATGCAAATCCAAATTGTCTAACTCGTACGGTCCATTAATATCAATAACTGTATATGTTTTTATCAAACGCACCACGTGATCGTACCAAAACGCTGGTCCACCAATCGATTTTCTACAAAGAAAATTACTGACTTTTTCCAATTACCACTCAAGATTAATGAATATATATTACTAATGCATTTCATGCACGCACGTGTGTATTTGAATCACGTGTAGGCTGCAGGGGAATATAAGGTGGTCGAGGAGAGCTGCGAAGGAGTTGGAGAAGAAGAATGCTTGATACGAAGAACCCTTGTCGCTCACACCGATTATATCTACACCCAAAACCACAAGCCATGATGAGTCATAATTAATTAGCTCATTAATTGCTCTTTTAATTACGTAATAATTAGTTATATGATTATGTCATTTTATTATAGCTGAAGCTATATATATATAGCTTTGAAATCTGAATTACTCTCGTGTGTTGAACGGTCTCGATCACGTCGTACTTTTTCTTAGTTTGCGGCTTTATTACGGTTGTGTCATTATGGTTTTATTCGGTATTAGTTATGTCTGTAAAGCTGTAAAACCCGTGTGCTCTGAGTCACTACAAAGATTTGATATAATGCGTGTTTTGTTGCAACCACCGTATATATATATATATATATATATATGTACTTCTCTTAAATGAAAGTATATGACTTTCATGTGAAATCAAACTTCCCTAACCAACCATCCATATATTTATTAAATAACAACATAAACTAGTGTACACGTGTCGGTCTAGCGTTCCATCGTATTGATCTTACAACAATGAACCCGAAACCAAAAAGGTATTAATGATCAAACGCATGAACCGATGGGTGATTATAACAAACAAACAAACAAACAAACGAATCTTAAAAAAGATTAGGTGGGTCTTTTTTTTTAGGTTAATTAATGGTTAAAGTGGCGATTAAATGAATGTGGGCCGAGTTATTGAATTCGGGAGAGTGGTCAAAATCAAAATCAAATCGCATTCACGAGTTACAAAGGGAGGCAAGAGAAGTCGGGGGTCGGACCAAATTCCATTTGGGAGTATTCGCATTCGGTACACAAAAGTCAACGAATCCGACATCTCCTTCGTTCATCACATCTTTCTCATACATAAATATATATATATATACACACGCTACATGTCCCATATAAGTCTTTTCGTACTGTTTTATTTGTACAGATCGATAAAAAAATCATTCATTTCCAAGGATTTTCAACTGCGTTTTAACGACGATTTTCGTTAAAATTCCGTTGAAATTTCCAACGTATATCCATTACAAATGCCTATTGAAAATTTTCAACGGAATTTTCAACGTATTCAATTGAAAAATTGGGTTAAAAATTTCCAACGGCATTTCCAACGAATATCCGTTGGAAATTTTCAACGAATTTCGGTTGAAAAAATCGGTTGAAATTTTTTAACGGAATTCCAATGAATTTCTGTTAGAATTTTTTCTTAAAACAATTCTAACGGAATTCCAACGGATATCAGTTGAAAAATTGAAAAATTGGGTTAAAAATTTCCAACGGTATTTCCAACGGATATCCGTTGGAAATTTTCAACAGAATTCGGTTGAAAAAATCGGTTGAAAATTTTTAACGGAATTCCAACGGATTTCAGTTAGAATTTTCTTTTAAAATCCTAACGGAATTCCAACAGATATCACTTAAAATTTTTTTTTAAAAAAAAATTAACGGAATTTCAACGGATATCGTTGGAATTTTGGATTTTAGTTGAAAAAATCAATTGAAATATATATATATACTAATACATATATTTTTGTATATATATATATATTATATATAAATATAATATATATATATATAAATATATTTATTTATAATTAAATACATGTATTTTATATATTTATACGTATACATCTATATGTATAAATATAGTTATATTTTGTGTATATTTTTATATATAAAAATATAATGTATATATATATATATATATATGAATTCGAATATGTATATACATAAATATATATACATATATACGTATAAATATTCATATATATATATATGTATATATGTATGTGTGTATGTATACATATAAATATTTATATACATAAATATTTATATATGTATATATATTAATGTTATATGATATCAGAACCTTAACTTGGAGCAGTTAGATGATTGTTAATTGAAACTCTAGGGTTAAGGAGGATTAAGGTGGAGTAGTGAAATTGGTGACCTATTGGGAAGTGAATTTGGAGATTAAATTTCAGAGTTACGGGATCGGAGTCGGGGTCGCGATCGGGGACGGGATCAGGGTCGGGATCGAGAATATATTTTTAACTTTGAAAATTTCCAACGGATCACAGTTGAAAATTCCGTTGGAAAATTCCAACGGAAAAATCCGTTGAGATTCCGTTGGAAATTCTAACGGTTATCCAACGGACACCAAATTTCCAACGGATTAGACCATTTTTTTTTGTAGTGCACATTTCTATTATATAAAATTATTTCTTTTTTTTTTATTTAAATGCAAACCCATATTTACTATACATCTTAATTTATGCAATGGATAGGGTCGGATCAAACCTACATATGTGGTTTGCTGGGTTGATTTTTTTTTTATGATCGTTTATCTTTTAATGAAATATTATTCACAAAAGCCGTTAAATCCATGAGAAATTCAGAATTATAATACTTGTGTAAGATGGCACGTTCACCACGCTTCCCGAGTCATGTCTCGCTGACCAAGTCAAGGAATTCTAGTCGAGTCGGCCCAACAAAACAGAAAGCCGGGCAGATGCTTCTAAGTGGGCCGAAATAAAGCCCAAGACAAACAATGGGCTAAAAAGTCCATTAAAAAATCAAAGATCCAAATTAGACAAAAATTCTATCAAAACATCTCAATTTTTTTTTGGGTAAAAAAACACCACAATTTTTTAACAGATGGTATATAAATATCTCGATATACTAAAAATAAAGCATACACGACAAAAGTATAGATTTTCCCCCGAAGAAAAAAAAACTGTGATGTTTTACAATATTGTATTAATTATATTTAGGAGATTCATCATACTTGCATACTGAATAAAAAGAAAATTGATCAAAGTAAAAGATTAGTTATATTTTATCTAGAATATAGATAAAGTTATTAAAAAAGTATTTTAAAATCTTTTGTAAATGATGAAAACAAAATAATATTTTAATTTTCTTAGAAATTTCGTTTCACATTTAATTTTCATTCAATTACCAAATTGAAAAATCGTTTCGAAATTTCTTATATATATCTTTATAATCGTTTCCAAAACTTTATAAACATTAGATTTAATATAGAACCTAAAGATAAATGAAAAATATTTCTATAACATTATATAGGGAGAAAAGAGAACACAACTTTTCTTTATTTTGGTCATATGAAGGGAATACATTTTATTATATAAAGTTCAACTTAAATAGAAAATATAAAACAAACTTTCATCTAAATAGAGACTAGCTAATTGATTGAATTACACGAAATGCTATATCTTATTTTGACATATTTAAAATGAGAAAAAACGGAGTATGTCACACGTGCATTTGACCAAAATATTGACAAGATTATATTCAACAAATTTTCATTTATGTGATATTTGCATATCAAATTAAAAGAAAATTGATTAAGGTAAAAGATCAACTATATTCCATCTATATAAAAAAATACTAAAAAATATATATTAAAATCTTTAGTAAATGATGAAAACGGAATAATTTTTTTTCAAGCAAATTTCATCTCACAATGAATTTTAATTCAATTATCAAATTCATACTGTTATCGATGTTCAGGTTATTACTATACATATTTTGTAATATTTGTTGGATTCACGCCTTGTACGTACTAATCCAATGTTCCTCAAGCATGTTCATCAATATTAATATTAATTAGAACAAATATATTATCTCATGCATATTGATATGAATATGATAATATTCTCTAGGTTGGATAGCTAATAATACAGACTAAATGGAGTGTGTATATATTTTAGGCAATATGTTTAATTATGTGTATTTGTTCAGTGAATTTGTGTTTCATTTGTTTTTATGTCCTCTTAAGCGAACTTTTCTTCTATAGTCAAAGAAGGTGAAGAACTTCTAACTAATATTAGGACAAACCAAATCAATCGACAACACATTTAGAGCTATTCGAAAATCATCATACCCGTAGTCGCTGAGTGAAGCTCGTAAACGTATAGTAGAAGGTAAATAATTCTAGTTTGGAAATTGTTTATGGACACATAATCTTTCAAATGTCTAAATTATTGTTAACAATAGTTCCATGCCCTTTCAAAACGAATAAAATAAGCGGTTCTCAATGGTATTACTCTTGCAGATGACAAGAGGAAACAATTTAACAAAATTGAACAAGATCTATTTTTAATTCATTGATCTGTTTGAGTAAAGATTTATGTGTTATAGATTCACTAGAATATCCACCTATTAAATCATAAATATTACGTAGTTACTTGATTTAGTATTTAACTGTTATAAAATAAACAAGTATCGCACGATAAGTGTGTTGAGAATTATTCGAATGTTACGAATGAGTTTGAAAAGATGATAATAGATAAGAAAGAAATTACGGGATTGCCTCGAACTATAACTGCACGAGAGTGAGGAGCGACAAGAAAAAGATAGAGAAGAGAGAGAGAAAGACGACTCGAGCTCTCATGGCGGGGAAGAAAATTACTGGTCTCTCTCTAGTTTCTGTCTTATGCGAGAAACCAGAGGGAGAGACCACCTGCCATGAGAGCTCGAGTCGTCTTCATCTCCCTCTTCTCTATCTTTTTCTTGTCATTCCTCACTCCTGTAGCTGGTGCTGGAGGTGTGCCAATCCTAATTGGCTGGAGAATTCTGCGCCAGTTGGAGAGCTCTGCTCCAATTCCTACTACACCTCATGCTCTGGCAGAGTTTTCTCCGTGATACCCACTGCTACTCCACCAGAGAATCCAGTGAAGAAGCTCGCTATAGCCATTTCCGTTGTCACGCTCGTTGTTCTCTGCGCCCTGGGGAGAGCGATAAACGGGAGTTCGTAACTGATTGGGTCGGACCGTCATCCATATCAGACGGCGGAAAGTTGCAAATATATATATATATATATATATATATATATTAATAAAAGAGTTTAAAGAGATTTGGTGAAGCCACCTCATCTCCATGTCTGCATACAAGTGATAATTTTTTTTGCCACTTCATATAAACATGCGTAGAAAT